TATTGCAAAATTAAACTTTAAAGAATCCAACTCATTCATGAAATCTAAATCAAATAAGCCGCTGGCCGATTTACTTCATGGCCATGAGGTGGCCCTAAGGAAAGCGCCGTTGGCCGTAAACCCTTTTTAAAACGGCACTGCAGAAGATTAAATTTTCATGAAAGTAAACCCCTTTTAAAAGCGCACGGTAGAAGTCGAATGTTGCTGAAACTGGGCGAGGTAGGAATAAATAGAAGAACAGCATAAAATATTACAAAGCTTTAGGGATTGGAAAACCAGCATATGACTGTGCAATGTCTTCAATGTCTCCATATAAAACAACAGGGAAATTGAGTTGATTTTAGCCTGATTAAAAACCATCGACATCCAGAATAAATTATGAATTTGCGTATAAAATTGCCTTTAACCGGTCTAGTCGACCTAATAGAGCGGGATGCGCTCTAAAAAAATCGCATCAACTTTTGCAAACGTGGGCGCTGCCGCTAGTAAGCCCCGCTGGCTTATTCAAGCATTATTCAAGCTTTGAGACCGACGTCCCGATTACCGGATTACCGGCTATTTGTTCCCTGAATAGTCCCGAACTCGATACATTTAAGCTGTAACTCACCAATAGTGTGAATTCTAGTGTGTTTAAAGCAGCAATAAAATGTTTTAAGCCTTATATGAACGAAAATTAGCAAGGTGCAATGAGATAACGGAACAGGGACTATGGCAGTCGTGCATAAATAATCGAAAAGTTTTATAAAAATTGTCTTTAATCCTGATTTTTTCCGGATTAGTAAATATTGGTCTAGTAATGGGGAATTTTATTTAACTGCACTCTTTCCTTGATATTTTTTAGTAGCGATTTGAAATTACCATTTTTAGGACAGGCGTGATTCTAAATAAGGTTCTGAAAGTTTCATAGACGTTGCTCTAAATTTCGACTTTTACCAGATTAGATCAGTCTCAAAATGGGCGATTTTATTGAACTGCGCTCTTCTTAATTAATTTGCATCTTCCAAACGAAAACCAGTAGCAATTCGAAATTCTCACTAATTTTAGAAGACACTTGATTCTAAAGATTCTGAAAGTTTCATAAACATTGTCTTTAATCCTGATTTTTTCTAGATTAATAAATGTCTCTCGCAATGAGTAATGCTATGCTACTGAGCTCTCCCCTTTAAAAGCGTACATCTTACAAACAGAAGCAAATAGCAGTATGAAACTATCACTATTTTTAGAAGAGATTTGATGCTAAAGATTATGAAAGTTTTATAAAAACTGCTGAAAACATTAATTTTTATCAGATAAGTAAATCTCAAAATTTATTAATTTTTTTCGATTTTATTCAACTGTGGTCTCCCATTGAAAACCTTACAGCTTCCACACTAAAGCAACGAGCAATTTGAAATTATCGATATTTTTAGACACTTGATTCTGAAGATTCTTAAAGTAAGTTTCATAAAACTAGAAATCAGAACCCTGATTTTTACCAGGTACCAGTAAATATTGGTATAATAAAAGGCGATTTTATTCAGCTGCGCTCTCCCCTTTAAAACTTTACAGCTTTAAAGCAAAGCAAGTACCATTTTTTTATTATCGCTATTTTTTGCAGAAACTTGATGCTAACGATTTTGAAAGTTTCAGAAAAACTGCTCGGACTGCTGATTTTTACCAATTTAGTAAATTCGGTATTAAAATGTGTGATTTTATTCAACTGCGCTCTCTCCTTTAAAAGTTTGCATCTTCCAAAATGAAGCAAACAGCAATTTTAAATTTTCACTATTCTAGAGAAAACACCTGAGTTTAAGGATTCTGCAAATTTCTTACAAGTTGACGGGAATCCAGATTTTTTTCCAGATTAGTAAGTATCGGTCTCAAAATGGGCGATTTTATTCAGCTGCGCTCTCCCCTTTAAAATATTGCATTTTCCAAACTGAAGCCAGTAGCAATTCGCAATTATCACTATTTTTAGAAGACACTTGATTCTAAATATTATCAAACTTTCATAAACACTGCTGAGAATCCCGATTTTTACCAGATTAGCAGTTTCAAAATATTCAGTTATAAAAATTCGCGACTTCCTGAATAGTCCCAAACTCTGAATACTCTAACCTGGGTAACACTGTGTTGAGTTGCGCTTTTAAGTTGTCGCCTCTCTCTCAGTTAAATGAGTTATAACTCATTCAGTAAAGCGGATTAAAGCTTTACGAGACCCGAAACCAGAATAATCTTAAAAAAATTATCAACATTTTTTATGAGTAACGTTTGCCGACTTTGTTCAAACTAAAAAAAAGTCCTCAACATTTTTTATGAGTAACGTGTTACTACTTTATCCAAACAACTAAAGAAAAGGTCACCTCATTTTTTTCGTTTTTATAAGTAAAGTTTTCCCAGCAACGGAACTGAGTCACTGCGAGGTGCGTTGGGTTGGCGCATCGAGCTATTTGCGCAGCAATGCGCCATCTAATAAAAATTCATTGAGTTACCCAGGCCTACTCTAAGGTGTAACTATCCAACTGTGTCAATGCTAGTGTGTCTTAAACGGCAATAAAATGTTTCAGGCCTTATATGAGCTGGAATTAGCAGGGTGCAATGAGATAACGGAACAAGGACTGTGGCAGTGCCTGCATCCGCGGATAGTGTCCTTAACACTCACCGACTGCATAAATGTGGCAGATGAAGCTGTGGGAGCGGTAGCTCAGCTTCTACCTGCCTTGTACGAGTTTCAGCTACAAGCGTATCATGTTACTGATCAAGCGCTCGGGTACTTTTCTCCGAAACAGGGCAGCTCCTTGGGCGTGCTCAGGCTCCATTCTTGTTGGGAGATTACCAATCACGGCGTGGTCAATATTGGTAGGCTGGTCCAAGGCGTTTTATAAATCCCTCATTGACCGATTGTTTTCTTCTAGTACATTCTCTGCCGAATTTGACCGTGCTGAGCCTGTCGGGCTGTAGCAAGCTAACGGATGATGGTGTAGAGCTCATAGCGGAAAATCTGCAAAAGCTGCGTTCATTGGATCTGTCTTGGTGTCCTAGAATAACCGATGCTGCCTTGGAGTATATCGCTTGCGACCTTAATCAACTAGAGGAACTCACTTTAGATAGGTAAGTTAATGGCTTGTTCTCACTTGTCCTCCTCAATGGATGAATTGTTTCAGATGCGTTCATGTGACTGACATAGGTATAGGCTATATCTCGACTATGTTATCCCTTCAATCGCTATATCTACGATGGTGCTCACAAATCAGGGACTTTGGATTGCAACACTTGTGTGGAATGAGGAACTTGCAAATACTATCCCTGGCAGGTCAGTGTTTTAAAAAAATCAGTCGATTCTACAACCTAAGTTACTCTTCTGGATTATTCCAGGCTGTCCCTTACTGACTTCAAACGGACTCTCCAGTCTGATACAGCTGAGGCATATGTGCGAACTAGAGCTAACCAATTGTCCAGGAGCATCCAGGGAGCTATTTGACTATCTAAAAGAGCACCTTCCGCGTTGCCTCGTTATAGAATAAATATCGTTACATGTGATTTATTTATTCCTGGACTTCAGGGCACTGGACAACGTGCTGTTGAATTCTATGAATAAATGGCGAAACTAGTTTATAGAACGGTAGAGCGTGTATACCAACGTCAATCAACCTAACTACTACTAGAACCGCAATACCGTAAATGTTTACTGAGCTTTAATGCCACTTTGGGAGCTTGTTGCGTTTTAACTACCAACTTTCAGGTTCGATTGAACGATTTAACCAACCTTTCCAGTAGCATATTGTAGTAAAATCTATTGCAAGAGACTTTGTTTAAAGTGTGCGGAAAAATGTGTCCTTCATCTACTGGCAAATGAGTAAAAAAACATGTTTTGTGTGCAATTTTCTACACCTACGGATTTAATGTTATAGCCCACCAATATCGGCCATTCCTCATTCTTCGTTCGTGGATTATATTATATATTCAATTATACAATGGGGGCTATATCACATGTGCAATAAAATAATTTCCTGAACTGTACAGTTTTTTGTTTCGATTTTATTTCTGGATCTGAACACTTATTTACAAACCACGATTATATCTACCAACCCAAACCAGAACGATCTTATGTGTTTACATACTAATGCTAACTGCTATAGAACTAGGGTTGGTTTTTTAAATGATTTTCCAGTACAAACGCCATGAATCTCACATATTAAATTTATACTAGACTGAACAGTTTGAAGCGCGCCAGAAATTAATTTAATAAAAAAGTCAATTATAAATCTATAGATTTCCAATTAGTTTCAACTTTATAGTGTCTTAATTCGTGCATTGATTTCCTATCATTCTGCTAAAGCAGCCCTTGTATAAAGAGTGTTATTGGCTAATAAAATAGATATTTTATAAAGAAAATTGTACTAGTTCCTAACTATATATCACATTATAGAGATGCCTTGAGGCTTCGCTTCTAAGCCTAGTTGCTCCACCAGGATATGACCCCAAGACCAGGCTCATTTATACTCCCCTGAAACAGAAAATCAGCTTTAAAAAAACTCACTAATCCATATATCACATAACGTACAATCAGGCTGTAGGGTACTTTATTTTCCGTCGTTTCTTCGGCCTCTTGCATTATCGCAGGCCCTGCAGGACAAGTCTCTTCAAAACGTTCGCCGGTCACTCTAAACCTGATGGAATCTCCTGCGTCTATGAATAAATCATGCTTAGAACCATCTCCAACGTCGTATTCCCATACCCATGCTTGTTCTGTTTCATTGAACTTGGAAGGATATTGCAAAGCAATTGGGGGGATGAGGATGTCGTCGAAAAAGCCCAGAGTTACTGGAGAAAAAATCAAATTATTTTAAACAATTTCAATCGGTGAAGAGTTTAATCCCGATGGATTAATTTGGAGGAAATCAATCTAAAAAAAATATTATTTCTAAACAAGTGGACAATGAACTTTGGGCAGATGTAAACAAAGACGATGTAAAAATCGAGTGCAATAATTGATAAACACGTACAAAAACAAATCTCGCATTTTCAACATCCTACCGAAATCTTCAATTTTCTGGGATCAAAATATAACTAATAAATAGCCGCTTTCAAATTGAAACGTGGGGCCGAGTGCCCATTTGGAGGCAGAACTTTAGCACCATTTAAACGCTCGTTATAAGGCCGGTGGATCAGACTGTAGTCTAAGTAGGTGTCAAGTATCAGCTCAATAAACTGGTGAATTTGAATGAATGGCGGTCTGAAAGCCCGAAAAATCGGTATCAACGGCGACAGCCTTTTGGCATCAGCTCAATATTTTGAGAATTTTTCTTGGGGCTTGGTAATCAAGGAAACTGAATGAAAGAGACTGAAGCCCATTTAGCTCTTTTCCATTTCACAGTCAGGTTTTCTTATAGTTTTGCTATTTCAGGCCAGTCTTTGGATATCCAGCATTTTCTTACCATGTACACCTTCCTGACTGCAACTGCGGATTTTGCCGACCAAAATTTCTTCCATAAACGGCCGAAAAACGACATAACGAAAATGAACTATGGTATGAGAAGCCCCATCTCCTGGTATGATAAACGACTCCTTCAAGCTGGTGATATCGAACAAAGCAATGCAGAGCCCCACATTTAAAACCACCTACAAACAGTATTTTTAAAACATAAAAGCTTATTGTCCATACACGTTTTTACCTTGTTAGCTAGCTTTTTGTTCAATTCTATTTCTACAGCATTGTTAAGTTTAATGTGAAAGTGCTCGGGCAAAATCCGAGTAATATTTTTCATTTCGACTAAGATAAACATTTTAAATAAACAAATGTTCCACATCAAACACGCGATTTTCATGAATATTTCAGACCATAGATGAACACAAGTTTGAGACAGTTGATGTTGGTTGAGGTTAGATCTAGGATTTTGCTCATAGGGTCAAAGGAGAGATATTAATTTGGCAACTACCTCGTAGCAAAGCTATTAACGAAATAAAAAGAAGAAGAATAAGAAATATTCGACTAATAAGTTTCAAACAACTAGCAATTTGAAATTAACACCATTTTTAGAAGACACTTAACTCTAAAAATTCTGAATTTTATAAAAATTGCCCAGGATCCCCGCTTTTTCCAAATTAGTAAATATTGGTCTTAAATAGGTGATTTTATTCTAGTAAACTCTGCGCTCTCTCCTTTTCAAACTTCACATGTTCTGAACTAACGGAAGGAGCGATTTGAAAATTTCACCTTTTTTAGAAGACACTTAGCTCGAAAGATTACTGAAGTTTCATAAAAATTACCCACAATCTTCGTTTTTTCGTCAGATCAGTGAATATCGGTCTTAAATGGGTGATTTTATTCAACCGCGCTCTCTCCTTTAAAACTTTACATCTTCTAAACTAACGAAATTGGCGATTTGAAATGATCACCAGTTTTAGAATACACTTAACTCAAAATATTACGAAAGTTTCATAAAAACTGCCCACAATCTTCCTTTTTCCGATTAGTATATACTTAGGTAAATATCGGTCTTAAAATGAGTGATTTTATTCAACTGCTAGTAAGTAGCTATTTAAAATTATTAACATTTTTAGAAGACAGTTGATTCGAAAGATTACGGAAGTTTAATGGAAATTGCCTCGAATCTTTAATTTTGCAAGATTTGTATAACTCTCGAGCATATATTTATGTCGCTGAAGTAAGAGCTAAAGAAGCCTTTGAATATAAAACTTGTTTTTATTTTTATTTTTTATTTAGTTTTATATTCAAAGAAAGAAGCTATGAAATAAGTCTATGGTTTATAATTTGCAGGTTAAATTCACAGATCACAGTTGTCTTTATCTATGGATCACAGACTAACCTCTGTTAGTTTAGCTGTTCTTGCTTTTTTTGCTGCTTATTAAAACATTTGCAAAATGGATTTTGTGGGAAATTCTGGGTAATTATTTGCAAAATCTTGTCAAAGACTTCCTTAACTCGCAACTATCATTCATTGCATTTCGCATTTTTCACCTGATAGTCGACTATTCAAAATTCCTCTGAAAATGTATAACAATGTTTGCATTCAGAACTGAGTCAAATCAAAAAGGCTTCTACAACTAGAGATTTTCAGATCGGGCATAGAAGCCCCCTGCATGGAAATAGATGATATTGAAGATCTCATATCAGCTCAAGATATAACACCTAAAGAGCGATACAGTAGCAGGAAAAATGTGATAGTTAGAGCCCGCAAGAAGAACGTAAGGCTGTCATCACTCCACAGCTTAATAGAATCGAACAAATTGAACTTTTAGCAAGCTGGAAATGAAAAGGCCGTGGGGGAAAACATCCCAGGCGTTCAAAGTGTATATGTTAAAACTTGGGGATGTGCTCACAACAACTCAGATTCAGAATATATGGCTGGCCAGTTGAGTGCGTACGGCTATAAACTTACTGAAGACAAGTCAGAGGCAGATGTGTGGCTTTTGAACAGTTGCACAGTGAAGAATCCGGCAGAAGATCATTTCAGGCAAGGAATCAAATTTCTGGAGGCAGTTTAAGTGATTTTAGAAGAATTACTTGTTTATAACTTAACTCCAATTCCAACTACATAGCACCAAAAAGTACTTTATTATTCCTTGTTTGCAACTGACGGTGTGGCCCAGAGAAATTTTTAGTTAAATAGTATTACTTTGTTATTGGAGTCGTTATCATTTGATGCATTTTTAGTTTCAAAGCATTTAATATGCTATTATCTGAAACATCTCCATACAATCCTAAGTTAATGCGGGGTTTCCTATAGTTTTCCTGCTTTTATTAATTTCAATTTTCTGAACTTGGAAACATTCATCGAGCGACCTAAATTAGGTGTTTATCTTCATTTATAGAAGAACCAAATAAATAGGGGTTTTTTGCACTTCGCTTCTCTCGACCACAATGGTTTTTATCTAGAATCTCTTCAGTGGGTACTTATCTCCCCAGATAGAATTGGTCTTGATGAACAGAATTCTTAACAATCCCCGCAGATTTCCTCAAGTTCTAAAAACTAATTGACTGAAAACAAGAAGAAATTGATGCGACTTGAACTGCTAATGTTTTTAGAAACGAAATCGAATCTGCAAAGAAAATGGGCAAATATGTGGTTTTGGCAGGATGCGTACCACAAGGAGCCCCTAAATCATCGTTTTTGCATGGGTTAAGTATTATTGGCGTTCAACAGATTGATAGAGTTGTTGAAGGTAAAAATCTGGCTTTTATCTAAACAAACAACGGCGATATTAATTTTTTCAATATAAAAAAATAATTCTATTTACCTTTTTATCAAGTTTTTTTCTCTAAAAGTGGTCGAAGAGACTTTGAAAGGAAACACAGTCAAATTATTGGGCACAAAGAAGGAAAATGGTCGAAAAATCGGAGGCGCATCTTTATTGTTACCTAAAGTTCGCAGGAATCCTCTTATTGGTACGTTTTACTCTAGGATTAGCCGAAATAATCTGGTTGGTATTTCTGCAACTTTTCTGTATCTAATGATATATTAATAATGTCTTAGAGATCATAGCTATTAACACGGGGTGTCTGAATCAATGCACTTACTGCAAAACCAAACATGCCAGAGGGGATTTAGGTAGTTACCCGCCCGAAGAAATAGTTGCTAGAGCCAAGCAAGCTTTTGAGGAAGGTGTAGTTGAGATTTGGCTGACTTCTGAGGATACTGGTCAGTGTTGAATGATTAAAAATTAAGTGGATCTTACAAGACAGGTACTACAGGTACTTATGGGCGCGACATTGGCACTTCTTTGCCAGAACTTTTGTGGAAATTAGTTGAGGTGATTCCTGAAGGATGTCGTCTCCGCCTGGGAATGACGAATCCTCCATATATTTTAGAACATTTAGAGGAAATCGCTAAAATCATGCACCACCCTAGAGTGTACGGATTTTTGCATGTCCCGGTTCAGAGCGGCAGTGATCAAGTCCTAGCTGATATGAAACGGGAGTATTGCAGAGCTGATTTCGAGCATGTGGTTGAATTTTTACAGAAAAAGTAACAATTGCTAGTCGAAATTTGGTTGCAAATGGACAAAAAGTATTTATTTTAGAGTACCCGGAATGACGATTGCTACGGACATAATTTGCGGGTTTCCGACGGAAACGGAGGAAAACTTTGAGGATACGATGGCATTGTGTGCTAAGTATAAGTTTCCTAGTTTATTTATTAACCAATTTTTTCCTCGGCCTGGAACTCCAGCAGCTTTAATGACCAGAGTTGATCCTCAAGAAGTGAAAAAACGGACGAAAAGGTCACTTACATTTACACTTAAAAGTTGTTATTAATGAACTTTGCGTGCAACTAATATTAAAAATAAACATTTTTATCCAGGTTGACTGAGCTGTTTTATAGTTATGAACCATATGGACACAATGTGGGTGTAATTCAAGATGTCTTAGTAACTGAGGTAAGAATATTCGATAGCCTTGTCCATTTCAAGCCGGTATTTGAATCTATAATTTCGATTTGTTAGATTTCTCATGACAAAAAACATTACGTGGGGCACAATCGGTTCTACGAGCAAGTGTTGATTCCGATGCGAAGCGAACTGATGGGCAAATTGGTTAAAGTTCAGATAAAAAGTGCCACCAAATTTTCAATGATTGGTGAACCATTGAATGAGGTAGTTATGCCTGGACTCGCTAAACCTTTGGAGAAAGGAGCAGTATCTGGACTAAATACGGATGTGTATCTGGAGGAATCTGATAATAAGGTTGGTTTGCAGTTTTTTTCTTAATTAAGAGTTGGTTTTATAGTAAACCTATAAAATCAGGAAACAAAGTTGACACCTGAAAACCTTTTATTGTTTTCAGATATGGTTGCCTTTAGTGCTTATATTAGTAAGCATTATCATTCGATTATTATTCGCTTTCTTCGGAACATTTTGAATGAGTTGTTTAACATTCAAAACGCAAAGGAATGGAAGCATGTGATAATCGAATTTTCGCACTCCTGGGCAAGTGTTATATAATTAATTAATATATATTTGCCTATTCACAGTTGCTTTACAGTAAAATAAACTTATATGGATATTTGAGACTTAATTTTTCTATAGATTTACGCAAAAACCCTATAGAAATATTTCCTCGGATTTTTATGAAAAAGTGTTATGTCTAACCGCTTGAGTAGAGAATATTTTTCCCTTAAATTACTGGACTTTTTAATGTAATGTTTCCACTAAAAGCTTCTAAATGCTTCTGAAGGAGACCGAATCGCAATAAATCAGCAAAGCACAAAAAAATAAAAATTATACTTTTAACAATCTTTATTTCAACAAAAAATATGTACAATATTTCCAAAAATATTGAACCGAATTTTGGAAAGCCTATTTCTTACTAAGTACAAAATATCTTGCTTTTGATTACCCATACGATACTGTATAGCCCATATTCTTCATCAGAGTGTCCTTAATTGCTGGTTGCAGTTCTTTTTGCATGTATGAGGTCAACAGTGATCTTATACCTGAATAAATTAAATGTAAATTTGAATTGAAAATTAATTGTTTGGACAACAGTATACATATTTCCAATATTTTCCACTTTTCAAGGTTTCCCAGCATTTCGGCCAAGGCTAAAGTTACAAGTTTATGATTTAAATTGTCTGAAATCCCTTTCCGTAGTGGAGATATTCGAGATACGACTAGTTTAACCTTTGGTCGTATTTTTCCCTTTTTATGTCATTTAAATGGTAAGACTGTTGAACCTTTTAAAAAAATCCTATTATCTGGTCAGTTATTTTCATCCACTTTCCTGATATGCAAAGTTTTAGAAACAATGTCTTACCTCTTAAAAAAACATCTTCCATTTCACGACTGATTTCTTCATCATCTTCATCAAGCACAGCGCCACTTCTAGCTCGACTTCGTCTTAGTCCTGGTTCACATCCATACGCATAAACTGAGATGAAACCTGGTTCAAGGAAATGGCTGTCTGTTTTTACGTTGAATTGTCCCCTTTCACGTCGTATCGGCTCTGTGTGGAATCTAAAATGTGTGCGGGTTTTCCATTGTTGGTTTTTCAAATTCAAGTTGCCTAATTCCAAATACACTGTACTTCCTTTGGATGAAAGTTATTTAGGTAACCTTTCGCCACAGACATGCTGTAGAATCTTTACTGTGTTAATTTCTGTATCCTTTTCAATATCACCAAACCAAAACCATTACTTCCCGCCTTGCCCAATAACAACATGTATAGTTTTTTTCGAGTGATTGAATTGATTGCCAAAACATTTTTTCCAATTTGATCCTGTTCTGCTGGCCTAATTGATTTAACTTACCCAATTCCGGCTTTCCTTAGCCGTAAGATCATATTGCAACTCTCTTCAGGGTTGGGGGATAGTGGTTCTCTCTGCAGTTGACCATCATTGAACAGATTGACTCTTCCGCTTATAGTAAGATCGTTGAATAGCAATCTGGTTTCCAGGCTGTGATTAATGGGGTCAAAGCTGCATGTATCTACTCGAATCTAGAAAAGAAACTGCAAAATCAGTGTTTCTTTTTTCGGTAATTTACCCAGAAACATAATTTCGAAGAAGATTTCTTATTTCGTTTAGCTTAGCAATACTAACCCAGCTTTGTGAAGACGGCAGTCTGACCCTCATATCGGTAACGTACATGTCTAGTGGGGCGCTTCTTAAGGGTTGGTGGAGCGAGTATCCATTCAGCCTGAGTATTTTTTCCTTTGCTACTTGCCTGCGCCTGATTGTCTCCAAAGCCTTTTCCATTCTGTCTGTGCATCTTCGTCCGTACTCCTGATCTCGTTCTCTGTAGTCTGGATGGATATTATTCGCTCCTTCATGGGGCAATTGACGTGGGATGGGGTCAAATTGACGAAGGTCTCCTGAGAGCCAAAAACACATTTCATGCACCTGCAGTTTCTTCAGATTCTGCTTCAAGAAGTTAACCATATTTGTTTTTTATACTGTTATTTTCTCACTTCCTTTAATTCCTGTTGTATTTGCAGGTGTGCTTTTCAGATTAGAATACATACAAGATGAAACATTTGAGCCAAAAATTCAAACAAGCGTCAATATGATATAATACATATAATTTCTTATGTAAAGCTATGTTTTTGCATGAGGTCTTCCAGTTGCTCTAAAGACCCTAAGTGCATATCCTAAACAAGTAGATTATGTTTATGTATCAAAACCTTAACAAACGCCTTCAGCGTAATTTACTTAAGCGACTATTTTAAACGTGAGATTTGTTTTCTTTCGCAGTGAAAGGATTGTCTTGCCATTGTTTTCTTTAAGCATGCTCGCAGATTTCATGCTGAATTAATTTCTTAATTAGAAGAGCACCATTTACGTTTGTTATTAAAAGTTATAAAAATTACGGCTGTTTTTTTAATGATTTAAAACGATTTTAAAGCCCCGGAGCATAATAAGTTGTTTCTCTTTCGCAAAATTCGCAAGCAGGCTTTACTTAAAATTAAAAATACTATAAATTATTACTTTGCATTACACTTCCACTTGAAATCTTTATTTTGTTAAAGTTTTGAGTTTTGTATTTGTTTCAATACAGTAAAAATTCAACTTACCTTCTTCGTTGAAAATAATCTCGGCGTCTTCTGGCGGAACTAAGGCTGATCCGGTTTCAGTGAGACTTAATGCCCATAAGAACATCATCCACTTTTGCAGGTACATTTCCCAGTTTTCAAAGGCTAGCCATTAAAAGCTGCAGAAAAATAGTGCTAAATTGCTGCCCGTACTTGTTCTACTAATCGACTTTCAGTAATCACTTTTATTGCCAATATCATGGTCCCACTTAAAGAGTGTATTTCAAATTTTACCAAGGCCATTTGGCAGAAATTTCGAAAATTTATTTAGCAATTTGCATTACCGTGAGTTTGATTTTGCGTCAGCGCTGTGGAAAAAATGGTTTTTGGGCATGTTATAATTGTCGTAAGAGTTTGATAATGTTCTGAAACAAACAGATTATTTCAAATATTTTAAGTAGGTACTTAATTAGAAAGTTTGTCAATCTAACAGCAATCTTTGACCGCTATAAAAGTGTAGGTGTTTCTTTCTCTGATTATTTTGCTAGGTATTACTGCTTCTATTAGCTCCTGATTTGGGGATATTTTAAATATATATAAATGTCCCTATACCTATTTACAAAAACCCTTTATGTATATTAAGTAATGACTGGACTGTACGTAAGTATATTGCACTGTTGTTTGAATTTTTATCTTGAGATCTTTTGGTTTAAATGCAAGAAAAATTTGCAATCAAATGCGTGTTCTTAATAAAAGTAGGAGTGCAATTGTTTTAAGCAAATATTTTATTTTTGATAACTTCAAATTTTCCCAAATTAACTGTGTTTTTACTAGCCGATATTTTATTTTTACTAGATATTTTCTTTACATAAAATTCGAATAATAATTTTAAAAATAAACATTTTTATCTGTAGTTAGCTGTTAGCTTGGTTACTTGCATCATAGTTTGATTTAAAACTCATTTTGCTGTTTTCCTCAAATGTTTCCATATATGTATGTAGTTGCAGCACATTCTCTTTATATTTTTATTAATTTAATATTTGTGTATCTTGTTAAAATAAATGTTTTGTATGTATTTTTAAATGGTTTTGTATGCATATTTCCAAAATATCGAATATTAATCAAAAACGTTGTAGAATAAATGTTTTATTAATGTCTAAAATATTATAAGCTGGCGCCTTTTTCTTCGGTCAAATGTGTGCATCACCATCATATTATGTATTTGGTTCGACAGAAAAATTCCCTTTTTATAGCTTCAAACTTACATTCCAATTCCTGCAGGTATTAATATGTTTTTATTTTTCAAATACCGTTTTTTTCCATTAAGCTGGAATTATACGCGCCGTAACGCAAAACGTAATATGTACTTTACTTAATGAATGTTGGGGAATTATGTTGGGTAATTCAAGATCTTTAATGTTAAGCTGAAAAGTTCGGGAAAATATATTCGATTATATAGCGTCAATATGTTGGTTTGTGCGGAAATTTTCATATTTTTATTGTTGGCTTCTCTACCAACTGATAATATTTTTTATGGGTCATACGAGGTATCAACATTTTATTTTATTAAACTATCTCAATCAATCCATTTTCTAAGGATGTATATTTCCAAATGTACCTAATTAAAACAGCATTATCAGCTAGATGTTTAGAAGAAAATTGCTTGTTTTTTTCATTAAAATTTTAAGCAACTCAAATTAATAGCAAATAAAATACTACAATCGGCGAGAAACAATTATGACGGTATTATGAACAAAATAATAAAGTAATTACTAAATCAAAAGTTAAATATAGTGTATTTTCAGAAAGTCAATAACTAGTGTTTGAAACTATAACTTGTAAAAGTTTATTTTCATCTTCAATCAGTCGTGGCCTTAGTATTTTTTTCGAAATATGCAATTACTTACTTCTCCAATAAAAACTCATTTTAGTTTGGCAAACAAAAAAGTAAACGAGAAAATTATAATAATAATAAACAATATCAGTATAAGTATAAGTCCTACCTGCGAACGTATCCATAAACAAATAACAATAGACAAGTCACTTTTTCGGCCCGTTTTCCAATTCACTTTGACTTAGATTGAGTTTCGAAGTTTGGCAAAGAACGACTGACTAGCAAAATGACAAAATTCGACTTAAATTAGTGGAGAGATCCCGTATATTGTTTGATGCAATCAGAGCGTTAAAAGAAGTAAGATATACCGACGCGGTTAATGCTGAGAGGAAGCCGAGCTTTAGACTAAGCACTAAGCCATCGAAAGAGAAATTGTATTGTTATATAAAAGAAGAGTGGTACCATTCGTTTGTTATGATCTTTCATCTTTATGCGGCACGTTTTATTGAAATATTGAATTTTCTCTGTTAAAAATCGCGCGTGTTTAGTAACAACGTTTGGAGCTTTTAAGGATTACATTTTTTTAAATTGATAGCTGGTGTTTTTTTGAGGCAAATGTTAGATGTTACACAGTTAAGCTTAGTTTTGGATGACTTATTTTGCACTTACATTCTTGTGATCTCCCAAAATGCAGAAAAAATTATTTTGTCGCGAACTTTTTCTGTGCTACTAAACTGCTCTGTGCTATTAAACGGTGTGATTTTTAAGTTAATTTTTCCTTTTATCAGTCGATAGAGCCGAAAAAAATAGGCGATATTTTTATTTACTATTTTCTCGAATTTGTAATTTGAAAATGAATGTACGGGGTGTTAAAATTAGCAATTACTACAGCTTTTTGCGCTCTTTGTACTGTAAAAATGTACTCACATCTCGTCAGGCAGACTTTCCTAACGACAATTTTTTCATATAAAAATAACACAAAAAATTTAGAGTATTTCTTTAGCTGCGAAAAGCATATATTAGAAGGTGTTTTTTAATTGTTTTCAAACAAACCAATTATTTAATTTATCTGTATAATACTGCCTATATTTTCAGCAAAGACTTTGTATTTCCTTCTCATGGTTTGCGTAATTATCCAACTAATGGTCAATTGTATTGATAAAATTTCGCCATTGTCACTAATTAATTTAAATATGTTTTTAGTGTACTTGCAATAAATATAATTAGCATTGTTTTCAACAGAAATAACGCAATTCTAGAACATAAATCGGGTTATTATTGTTTTAATTATCTAATCCGCCAAACAATGGCCTATTAGAACAAATCAGTTGTGCACATTTGTTAGTATGTCAATAAAAATTGCTCACCTAATTTCCTTATTTTATAACGAATTAAATTATTATAAAGATGAAATWATTAAAAAAWTTCCTCTGAAAAGACTGAGACACTTAACTCTTTTATTTTTCAAACCTCTACTCAAGACTCGATAGAACTKAAGCAAACACAGTGCTTTTGTTAAGGAAAGGAGCTACACAGTGCATACTTTTAAAACTGCGAAATATGAGGTCAAGTAAGGTTGCATAAGTGAAAGATCGAAAGATTTTCGGAAAAATATCACAATTATAAGCTTTGGGGAAAATTTGTTATGTTTTCAAGGAATCCACTATGGTTGCATCGCCCTGTATCTAACCTGATTTAGATATGGTTTAAAATATTGAAAATAATTTACCAGCAGTAGGTAACATGAGGTTAAAACTAGCGAAATCTGCAGTTTTATAACAGCCATTGCATGATGTTTGAACGGTTTTTCACTGTACGTCTGTACTGTTTAAAAACTAATTTAACCGTTTTTGTCTTATTATGTGAATTTAAGAATTTGAGTAACTTTTCGGAATGTAATTGAAGTAATAAAAAAATCGATAGGCTTGAATCTACTTTGATGTGTAGCAACTGCCTATATACAGTAGAGGTAAAAAAAGTACCGAAAAGCGGTAATTTACTGGATGACCGTACATCTGGTCCAAAATGTGGTGAATTTAGTACGTCGAAATATTTGTTCTAGAATATTCTAGGAATTTACTCTTTTTTTACAATATTTTTTGTAAGAAATTGAAATAAAATTAATTCGTATACAAAAAATCGTCGCTTTGTGAGATGTTATCTTAATATACAGGGTGTCACACCGGAAACTGCCGCGATCGATTACATTTTTGAATTCTACTCCAAATTCTA